CTGATGATGATACAGATTCAATCCAAGAAATGATTGGTTGTTTTAATTTTGATGATCCATTATCTGCTAATGACTACATAGAAATAGATTTGAGATTGCAAAATCAGGATAAATTAGCTGATAAAGAAATCATTGAACTAGTTAAAGGGAAGGAAGTGATTGAAGAAGAAGATAACCAATCTCAAGTTTCTGAAGATAAAATAACTATGGATCAGGCTATGGAATCGATTGAAAGGCTCCAATTTTTTCTAATGCAAGAAGAAAGAGGAATAGGTATTAGTGAGAGTTTCCTGCATGAATTAAACAAATTTAAAAGAGAATTAAAGAAAGAAATTTTATGTCAATGGCTCAAACAGAAATTGACACCTATTTTAGTTAAATGATTTCGTAAATTATGATTTATTATATTTATTATTAATAATAAATGGATAAAGGAAATTCTAAATTTTTAAATTTACTACCCTGTTTATCCGAATTAATTTATGACTCTAATAATAACTTCGGATTATAAAAAAACCCCCGTTAATCCGAAGAAAAGTCCCTGCACAATTGCCTTCGGTTTAACGGGGTTGCCTATGTATTTTTAATAAAATAATGTTACTGAAATTAAAATTTAATGCTAATTTTTTATTTTTTATCATTTATGAACAATTAAATATCCATGCAATTTTCAAATATCATCTCAATTTTGAGATATTATTGCAATATTGAAATAACTTTTCAGATATTTTAATTGAGATATTAGAATTTCTATGTATATAAAAAACTCAATTTCAACCTAATGTAAAAATAATTTTGTAACATGTTAATTAGTTTCAACTAAGAAAAACTAAATAAACTAACAAATAAAATAGTAAATATTTTATTTAACACTTTTGTCTTCTTTAAACAAAATTATTTGCTAATCCAAAAATCAATTTGTTGATAACCTATTCATTCTGATCCATACAAAAACAAAAACAATGGTTATCACCCATTAAAACACACTCCCCCAAATTTAATTGGACAATAGCAATATGGAAGTATGTTGATAAATTTTTGTTGCTATTGTTACCAGGATTAGGATTTAACACTAATTTGTTAGTCGAAATACTCTAATTCCGAACCAAATCTTTTATTTCTATTTTTATTTATTTACTTTATTTTTATATCTACATTTATTTATTCCTTATATTTTATTTCTTATTTTATTTTTATTCATATTTATTTACATTTTTATTATTTTATCTGTATTACATTTTTATTTTTATAACGTCGAAATTAACTTTATTTAGAAATTAACGTCGTGGTTAGAATGTTATGTCGCAATTAAAGTGCGATATCGCGGCTAGAACGTTAGATTGCAATGAAGTTATTATTAATTAATTTAATTGTATAAAAGAAGCTCAAATTCAACTTGCTTGTAAAATAACTTTGTGATAACTTTGTTACAAGTTAATTAATTAGTTTCGACTAAATAAAAATAAATAAATAAAATAGAAATATTTTATTTAAAACTTTTATCTTCTTTAAACAAGATTATTCGTTAATACCAAAATCAATTCGTTGATCTCCTATTCATTCTGATCCATGCAAAAACAAAAATAATTGTTATCACCAATTAAAATACGTTCTCCCGAATTTAATCGGTGACAGTAGTAAAAAAGTATCTGTTGCCACTATTCAAGGAATTTCTAATTGTTTTACTTTCATGTGGCCAACTGGTGATGAAGAATGATTTATAGTAGCTTATGAAATACCCAACTATGGAAAACCAAAAAAATATTCAGTCTCTGACATTAAAAAACTTTTTAAAAAAAAATAACATTAATCAACCGAATGCTATAGTCACCAATCAATCAACCCCGCAATCTGAGTGGAAAATGCCTTTTGACTTTTATACAGTTACAAAACTCTCTGGTTTGGAAACTGACACTAACACCAAAGGAATATTTTAGAACACAAGTCATCATAGTCGGGAAATTTTTTAAACCAGTAATAATATTATCTAACTACTTCTAGTCACTAAAGGAGCATCAAAGCTTGCCAGTCTCCAGTTAAAGAGAAGTTTAAATAAATTCATTGTGATAATATTTTGTTTACAAACAATGTAACTATCTTATTTGATGGTCTCTAGTCCTCACAGATGAAGCCAATGCAGGACATCAATGTAACAAATTACTCCGAAGTCATGTGTAACATCGGGGTGGTACATAAATATTTACATTAGAAACGTGACACATTT